CGGGGCGGCTCTCCCGGGTCTGTCCGGAGCCCCTTCGCACGCGATGTCCCCAATGCCACCTCTGGGACCCCCCGGCGGGGCGGGACACGCGTGTCGTCCTCCTCCGGCCCCTCTCACATCCCGCTGTGGCAGGGCTGGGGACAGGGATGCGGGTGGAGCGGGTGAGATTCGGGGTGCGGGCTGGTCCCCCCTTGTTTCCCCTGAAGGGCAGGTCCTGGCCTGTCACCTCAGGGGGACCGGGGATGACGGGGCTGGAGCTGCGAACGCTGCCTGGGACACACACCCTCCCCGCCTTGGTCCCTCGGCAATCCACCCCGCCGTGTCCCCCGTCTCCGGCTGCACCCCCCTGCCCCATCCCCGCGCCACCTCGCCCCCCGGGGCTCTCTGTCCCCAGGGGACAGGAGGTGACACAGGGCACGGCCGCTTCTCACGCGAACCTGGACAATCTTTAACCGGGCCGGGGCAGCGAGTGCCGTGACCCCCGGGGCTGGCCCGCCGCCCCCTTCCCCACGAGGACCCGATCCGGGCTGTGGGCCAGCAGAGCGGCCCCCGCAGCGCGGGAGGGACCCGGTGAAGCCCCCCTACCCCCTGGCTCTCCTCCCTCTGCTTTACCGGGGAGCACCGGCGGCGGGACGGGCGAGCCCCCGCGGGGCAGGCGGCTCGCTAAAACACCGCGGGGGGCGGCGGGGAGGGCGGTCCGCGTTCATCCCCGCGTGTTGGTGGAGCCCCGTGGAGGGGTGAATCTCCCCTTCCGCCCGGCACGGCGCACACCGGGGCTATTTTCCCACGCTCCCGCTCGCCCCGCGGCTCCGGGGGCATCCCGGGGCTGCGGGCACCGGCGGGGGTGGTGGGGCTGGATGGAGCCGGGTGCCCGCAGCGAGGGCTGCGGGGGTGGGGGCGAGCAGGGGGGCCCGGGGGGTGAACGGGGGCCCGAGACCGGCGCCTTTAAGATCCTGCCGGTAGCGTGACTGGAGTGACCGGGGCGGCGCGGGTTGCCCAAACATCCCGCCCGCTTCGCACGCGATGCCCCCCCCCGGTCTGTAACCCACGGGCGGCACTGGCACCCCCCGTCCCACCCGTCGGGACCCCCCCCATCCCCTTCCCTCGCCGCCTCGCATCCTCCCCCCCGGGTCCCGCAGGGGAGCGGGGTCTCGCAGCCCACGCGTGGCAGTGGAGGGGGGGTCGCGGCCCCTCTCCCGCCACCGCCGGGAGGGGGTGCGTGAAGGGGGGGGGTCCGGGTTAGTTCTTTAGGAGTTCGGACGCACGTCAGCTATGATTAGGCTTCGGTCACGTGACGGGAGGTTGGCGAGCCAATCAGAGCGAGCGGCGATGCATATAAAGCAGGAGCGAAGGGCGAGCGGGGTACCTGTCGGGAGGATCGGGCCCTCAGCTACTTCGCTCCCCAGGTGAGTACCGCTCCCGGCGAGGCGAGGCTCTTCCAGCTCCCCCAGGGACCCCCGAGGGATGGAAAACCCTAGGGGTGCCTCGCTGCAGGGTGCCCCCCTCTCTCTGGCTCCCCAAATCTTCTGTAGCATCCCTGTTGGAGCTGGCGGAAGGTGATTTCTGGGGATAATCCTTGTCCTGCAGCTCCTCTTGCCTTGGTGTGGCCACGACCTGCAGCCGTGGGCTGCACCCACTGGGGTCCCAGCAGTCCGTCAGGCTCCTCACCCCATGGGTCCTGGGTGCAGCACCTTGCCAAAGCCAAGGGGAGGTGGGATTTCAGCCTCAGCCTCTTCCCACCCCTGCCTTGGAGGTTTCTGAGGGATTACTGACAGAGCTGGGAGCGGGGTGCCCACAGCCCTCCAGCCCCAGGCTACAGCCACTGTTAGCTCTGGCCATCGATCTTTAGGAAGATTGGTGGCAATGCTATGCTTACTTTGCCTGTGAGCAGTGGCTCAGCGCAAGCTGACAGATGACTCAAATTGGGAGGATTCAGCTCTTGTATAGTCAGGCACTCTGGAAAGGACTTTGCAGTGTGAAAGTGAGGTCCTGGCATTAAGAGAGCACGATTCTTACCCTGGCATGCAGAGAAAAAGCCATGGGAGGTCCCTTTTGCCCCTGGCTAGTAAAAAGAAACTGGTTTCACTTGAAAGCAGTTTCCTAAAGTGCAGAAAACCAGTGTGGCTCTGGATCAGAAGTTAAGCTCAGCTTTCCTGCCCACAGTCCTGTGCTGTTGCTGCTGAGAGCATCTCAGCCTACAGGTGTTCCCTGGACCTTCCCTCATCCATAATGTCTCTTTTGTTTATCACTAAGGTTTCTGCATGGCGGCAGCAATGAAGGCTGTGATGTCGCTGGTGGGAAGCCAAGGTGTTGTCTCGGCCACCGAGGTCCTCCTTGCTGCTACCGTCTTCTGCCTGGTCTTCCTGTTCATCCAGTCCCTCCGGCAGCGTGTGCCCAAGGGGCTGAAGAACCCCCCAGGACCCAGAGGCTACCCCATCCTTGGCAATGTGCTGGAGCTGAGGAAGGACACGCACCTGGCCCTGACCAGGCTGAGCCAGAAGTATGGGGATGTGATGGAGGTCAGGATCGGCACCCGGCCCGTCCTGGTGCTGAGCGGGCTGGACACCATCAGGCAAGCACTGGTGAGGCAAGGAGAAGACTTCATGGGGCGCCCCGACCTCCACAGCTTCCAATACATTTCAAACGGCCAGAGTCTGGCCTTCAGCCCTGACTCAGGGGAGGTGTGGAAAGCCCGTAGAAAGCTGGCCCAGAACGCCCTGAAGACCTTCTCCATCGCCCCCAGCCCCACCTCCTCCACCTGCCTCCTGGAGGAGCATGTCTCCAAGGAGGCCGACTACCTGGTCACCAAGTTCCTGCAGCTGATGGATGAGGAGAAGAGCTTTGACCTTAACCAGTACCTGGTGGTCTCTGTGGCCAATGTCATTTGCGCCATCTGCTTTGGCAAGCGCTACGACCACAATGACCAAGAACTGCTCAGCCTGGTGAACCTCAGCAATGAATTTGGAGATGCTCCTGCTTCTGGCAACCCCGCTGACTTCATCCCTGTGCTCCAGTATCTTCCCAGCCGCACCATGCAGCTCTTTAAGGACATCAACAGGCGGTTCAACTTCTTTGTGCAAAAAATTGTCCAGGAGCATTACACCAGCTTTGACAAGGTAAGTGCTCAGATGCTCTTGGATGTAGGTGGAGATGCCTACAGTTGGCTGTCTGCCTGGAAATGAAGGGAAGAGGGTACTCCCTTGCCCCTCCACCCCTGCCCAGGAAGGCTCCTTGGAGCTTTCAAACCTGCAGTTAATTCCCCCAGGTGCCAGCAATGGCTGGGGGAGGAGATGTTTCTCTGTCCCTGGGTGTCCCTGACCCACTGGCTCTTCCCCAGGAGCACATCCGGGATATCACAGACTCACTGATCGAGCACTGCCAGGAGAAGACCGTAGGGGCAGATCCCCACATCCCACTCTCCAATGAGAAGATCATCAGCATCGTCAATGACCTCTTTGGGGCAGGTGAGGATATTTCTGGGGGTAAAGCTTCTCTGCTGGGAGGCTATGGGGTGGAACTGGGGCCATTGGGGTGAGACCTTGGCCATGCTTGGGTGTTTGGAGCTGCTGCTGGTGCTCACCCCTGCACTCTCCTGAGCAGTGACCAGAGCAGACAGCTTTCCAGTGACAGCTGATGGGGAAGTGTGCCATGGCAAACATCTAGAGTAATGGGGTCTGCAAATACCTGCTCACCTCTTCTTCTGGTAACTAAATGCCTTTTTCATGCCCATCCAGGCTTTGACACTGTGGCAACTGCCCTATCCTGGAGCCTCATGTACGTTGCCTTGTACCCTGACATCCAGAAGAAGATCCAGGAGGAACTGGGTGAGTCCACGAACCTGCTTCCTCTGGGGCCAAAACCCCTCTGGCAAGGGCTGGCCCCAAACCCCCTCCCTCCTCTCAACCTCCCGCAGACCAGACCATTGGCTGGGAGAGAAGGCCGAGGCTGTCGGACCGGGGCACGCTGCCCTACATGGAAGCCTTTATCCTGGAGATGTTCAGGCACTCGTCCTTCCTGCCCTTCACCATCCCACACAGGTATCGGCTGAAGCAGCTGACAGGTTATTTGGGGTTTTTTGGGGTGGTTTTCTGGGAGGTGCCGTTCAGGCAGATCATCACCTGGGAATCAATCCCTGCTATGGGGAAATATTCTGGTGCACAGCCTGAATTACTGGTGTTAAAGCTCCCTGTGGCTTTCATGCTCACCAGTGGCACAGCGTTGCATTGGTGCCTGTGTTGGACTCATCCTGGGGTTGAATCCTTTGCTTTGAGGGCAGCTTCACTCCAGAGCCTTTGCTGGTGGAGGGATGGTAGGTGATGGCTGACACCCCTGGGTTTATATTTCCCCCTGCCTTGGGAGAAACCACATCACAACTCATCCAGCTTCCTGAAACCTGAATCTTTCCACTTGAGGAAAAGTGTTAACTAAGACTATTGAGTCTCCCAAATACAAATTGGGGTATTTCCTAGCCAGTCCTAAGAGTACAAATAGTGCATTGAAAAAGAAACATCCCTAGGACTTTGTTTTGCTGCACAGCTGTGGGTCTCCCATTAACTTCTCTTCCCCTCCACCTGTGTTTCTTTCAGTACGACGAAAGCTACAGTATTGAATGGCTATTACATCCCCAAGGATACCTGTGTGTTTATCAACCAGTGGCAAGTGAATCACGATGAGTGAGTATGCCAAATCTCCTGTGCCTACTCAGGCTGCAATGGGTTTGCTTGGCATTAGACTTGCTCTGACCCTTCAGAACAATATGATTGGCAATATGATTTCACAAAAAGCCAAATGGGTTGTGAAGGCAGGGAAAAGGTAGATTGGACCAAAAATCATGTGGGTTTGACACTGAGCCCAGCCTTGGGTCTCCTGGGCATGGAGCCACTCTGGGTTGACTTGGTCCAACATCAGGGCTTACCCAATTTATGCGCAGTAACATGGTGATGTCCTCGATGCACCAGACTTTCCACGTCTGTGCGAGGCTTGGCAGCTTGGGCTGCTGAATAATCAGGAATTGATAAATCCTCCTGCCAAGCAGCCCTTGTGATTCGGGTTGACAACTCTGGATGTGCTCAACAGGAACCGCCTGGTTCCCTCTTTCAGGAAGGAAAAATGTCCTGACGTGGCTCTCTTTAAACTCAATGAGCTTGTGTTATTGCTGATAATCAGCTCTAGTGAGTGAAAGGGGATCTGGAAACCAAAGCCCCCTCCTACCCTTCCCTGCTCTCTGGCAGAGACCCTCCTGGGGGGGAGTGAGTTGATTAGAGATCAGCACAGAAGGTGGTTCCCAGATCCAGGTATTTGGCATCAGAAGCTCAAGAACTTTGTATTCACGTAGCCCAACAGCACAGAGATATCGTGACGTTCCTTCTGCTCCTGCATATGCTGGTGAGCATTGTAGGGGGAACACTGTCCTTGGGGCCAGAGAGGATTCCCCATATCCGAGCAGAAATTATCAGCTAAGGCACTGGAAAATCCCACCTGGCACCTCCCAGCAGCCAGGCTGGGACAGGTTGGGAAGTTTCCCTAGGAGGATTCAAGGTGAGGAAACCCTCAGGTCTCCATCCTCTCTTTATAAGAGGCCCCAACCCATCTCTGTACACAGATTTTTTTTTTTCCTTTCAGCTGACACTGCAGGAGCTCTAGATATTCCATGCTGGATTAAATCCAGACCCAGTATCTGCACAGGCAAACACAATCTGAGTTTGAGAGAGAGGTTTCAATAGACTGAGCTGATGGGGTCTGACACACAGTTGGCATTTTATATCAGGGATAAAGGTTGCCAAAGTTTTTGGACGGTGAGAATGAGAAAGTATTGCAGTGCTTCTCCCTGCGAGGAGCTTTTTGACTGCTGTCCCCGTCACAGTGGGTGAAAACAGCTTCCTCAGCTGTGTCTCCTTTCTGCTCCAGGAAGCTTTGGAAAGACCCCTCAACCTTCAACCCTGAGCGGTTCCTCAACACCACGGGGACTGAAATAAGCAGAACAGAGGGCGACAAAGTGATGGTTTTCGGTTTAGGGAAGAGGCGATGCATTGGGGAGCCCATTGGCCGGTGGGAGGTCTTCCTCTTCTTGGCCACCATGCTCCAGCAGCTGGAGTTCAGCCTCCGCCCTGGGGAGGAGGTGGACATCACTCCTCAGTATGGACTGACAATGAAATACAAGAAATGTGAGTGCTTCCAGATTAAGAAGCGGTTCCCCATGAAGAGCTCTCCATGAGCTGTGGGAGGAAGCATCGCTTTGCAGAAGAAAGCCAGCCCTTGGAGTCAGACACTCAGCCTGCTTTTGCTAACGCTCTCTAGAAGCCAACACAGCCCCTTGCTGTGCTGCTTCACTGGAGGCTTGTTCATCTCATGCAAACGTGAGCAGGGAGGGATAAAGCCGGCTCTGTTGGGCTCCTCACAGCCCCCCTTGCCAGCTCCACCGCCCTTGCCTTGCAGAAAAGCTCACCAGAGGTCCAGCCTGCTCATCCCTCCTGGGGAGGTCCAGGGGGACTGCAGCCCTGTGGCGGGGAGGAGGATGCTTTGGGCTGGGAGAAGCGGTTTGGGATGTCGGGAGGGTTGTCCTCACCCTGCCCGGTGCCGCAGGCACAGCTGGAGCTGCTGCGGGCAACTCCCTTTGTCCACCAAATAGGAATAAACCTGCAGGTTCCTCCTTGAGAAACCTGGCCGGCCTTTTCCTGCGGGGCAAAAGCCTTTCAAGCTCGTTTGGCCAAGCTGTTTGCAAAGCCTTCAGCTCCTTGCGCTGACAGGAAGGGGCTGTCCCCGCTGCTCCAGCTGCCTGCTGAGGTGCTCTCAAGGCGATGCGGAGGCCAGACCTACCCCTTGCACAGCTACATTCCCTGAATGTAAATGCATGAAACAAATCCCTGAGTGTTGCTACCAACCCTTGGTGACAGCCTACTAGAAAAAAATGTGTCTCCAGAAGTAGTGCTGCTCACAAATTGAGATGAGCTGAACCTCTCCCGAGAAGTGTCCTGAAAAATATCGAAGGACTGCGAATAGGAGGCCCAGTAGAACAATTCTGGCCTTCAGACTATGTATTTGCTGCTTTTTTTTAGCTATTTCTTTTTTTTTTTTTCTAGTGAGCAATAGATTTCTATATTCAGGCTAGTAAAAAGAGCAAGGGTTTGAGAACTGCAGGAGATGCTGCCTCCCGCTGCAGCCCGCATTAGCCAGCGTGAGGGTAAATTCTCATGGCAAATGGAGCAGCGATCCCCGCTTGTTTGTGCCTGCAGGGAATGCATCCCTATGCTGGGATAGAAACCACACAGTATTTCTAATCCAATAAATACTTACACAAAAGTTTCTGAAGTTTCTTGCTGGTTTTATTCCATAGGGAGAAGACTGGGGGGGGGAGAGGGGAAGAAAAAAAATCCACACCTCTTTTTCATCCTCAAAAATCTGACTTGGGTATGTTGGATCTGGATTTTTCCCATGGAAATAATTTTTGCCTGGTTGTTCCTCTACTGTTGGGGCTGTGACACCAGTGGCATTAGGGGGAGTTTTTAGACCTTGTGGGTGTTGGCTGGCTCCGGTCCTCTCCCTGTGTGTCTAGAGAAGATAAAACCTTGGTGAGGATTTGCAGGGAGGTGAAGCTGAGCTGCAGAAAGGTGAAGCTGAGCTCCAGCTCGGTTCAGGATTTCACTAAAAATCAGGACTAGCCCTTCTGTCCCTGAAAAAAAAAGAATTGATAGATTGAAAACAGCCTCAGGGAGATGATCCATGGAGGGATGCTTCGGGCCGTCCCCTGCTCTGCGCTTCCCCATCTCAGAGCAAGGCTTTGCATAACTTCCCTTAAAAAAAAGGCAATAAATGTTAAATTGCCACTTGAATAATAAGGGAGTATACAGAAAACTGAAGGCTGTGTGTACCTGAAGCGGCATCCCTGCAGGACCCAACCCTCTGGGGTTTCCAGCTTGGCGGGGTAGGAAGCTGCTCTTGCCCCGCAGGCACATTTTCATGAGGCACAAAAGTTTAGCCAAGCCCTCGGATTGGGATGTAACATCAGGAACCTTGGCAAAATCCAGTCTTCTGCTGAAAAGCGTGCTCTTCCCCAAATCCCTGCCCTGGGATGCTCCAAGCTACTCTCACCCCACACAGGGATAAAGTCCAAGTAAGTGCTGAAAGGTTAATATTTGACTCCATCCGTCACTGGGGCATAAAGGACAGATGAATAAATCGGTGGGTTTTTTAATGGTGCCACCTGTCGTAGCACAGAGTTATTTTTAATTTCGTGGCTGTGCCATGGAAAGGCTGCTCTTGAGAAAAGGAGCCTTCCTCCCGCTGTGACCTCGCTCACCTTTGCGTGATTGTTACCGACTGCTAGCATAATGATTTTGTTTTTAATTAGCATCCCCGGCACAGCCTGCCGTTTAGCTCGGGAAGGTCAGCCGGCACACGGATCCAGCACCCCACCCGCTCCTTCCTCCAAATAACGAGCAAAACAGCCTCTGGCTTCGGAGTGGGGAAAAGCTGATTTTAATGGAGCTGAGGAGAAAGCGGGAGATGAATTCATCTGTGCCTCTGCTGGTGAGGCAGAGGGAGGTGATGGAAGTGATGGAGGTGATAGAGGGGTGACAGAGGTGATGAAGGTGTGAGGAAGGTGATGCAGGTGATGTGAGGTGCTGGAGGTGTGACAGAGGGGACAGAAGTGATGGCAATGACGGAGGTGATGGTGGTGATGGAGGTGACAGAGGTGATGGAGGCGATAGCAGTGATGGGAGGTGATGAGGCTGAGATGGAGGTGATGGAGGTGTGATGGTGGTGACAGAGGTGACAGAGGTGATGGAGGTGGCGGATTTGTGATGGAGGACAGCAGTGGTGGTGGTGTGACAGAGGTGACAGAGGCCACAGAGGTGTGATGGAGGTGGTGGAGATGTTATGTGATGTGATGTAGGTGATGGAGATGTGATGGCCGCCATGGAGGTTAGGGAGGGAGGGCATGCGCCAGCAGTGGCAGAAGGGAGATGGAAGGCGATGGCGTTGTGGCAGACACGTAACAGCGGTGGCGATGGCATTGGGGGTGACGGGTGTGTGACGGCAGACGCGTGACAGCGGCACCACGGCGGACCCTGCGGCGGGCCCGGACGGC